CAGACTTGGGCAAGGCTAAAATGGCTGACGCAAACTTCCCAATAGCTCTCTACAAAGAAGGACAAAGTAAGAGTCGTTAGTAGGGAAAACAAAACTAGTGGTTAATATTATGAAGGCGAGAAGAACTAGTAGTTAAAATACGAAGGTGAAAAAAAACTGGTAGTTAATATATGAAGGCGAACAAGTTTGTCTCTACCATTAAGATCAACGAGGTTACAATGTGCCAACCGTGGAAACTAGAATAAAATGTGCTCTGCTGGTAAGTGAGGAATAAAGAAAGCCATCCATCACTGCACATAATTCATCAGACAAGGTGAAGATGTCTCATGTCCCCTCCTGCACTGCTTGATGGGTGACAGCTAGAATGCAAGTCATTAGAAGGAAATAAGCAGTCAAGTCGTTAGTACTTGGTGAGCCAGCTGCACACACACACACACACACACACACACACACACACACACACAAACTCAGTCACCAAAAAGCCCACACAGGGCAACAGAGCCAGAGAGACAGCATCCAACCAGGGTGTCTCCATGAATAACTTAGTTCCGCAGTGTCATCGGGAAGACAGGGTGGATTGTGCCTGTCAGCTTGAGGAGGCCTGGCCAGCCAGCTGACAATGACCTCATCGTAGGGCCCTCATGCATGCAGCATGGAGACGGATCTGGGTGCCTTGCACTGTCAGAAACGGGAAATGATGGCGTCATTGAGTGGTTCACTGGTACATGCGATGCACACGTGATTTCATCCTGAGTCGACTGCAGGGACACAGCCTCATCTTTAACAAGACTTGATGACACATTTACCCCTAGCTTTTGGGCTGCTGAGTGCCTGCTGGGAACCAGGGAGTGGGTCTGAACCAGAGATGGTTAAGCTGAAGACGGGACTGTGCCAAAGGTTGTGGCTGTCCTTACAGGGCACCCTCCAATCTTGAGCAGTACAGACAAAACAGATCTGAAATCTGAAGCAGCATTTACATGATCCTTTGATTCAAAACAGAGCCAGCACTCTACTTTTCATAATCAACTATTTCATACTTTGAAGTATAACTCCATTCAAGCAATCCAAAGCAAAGCCAAAGAAATCTTCATCTCTTGCAACAACCACAAAAATAAAGTTCACCCAGTGAAGCTTTATTTTTGTGTAAAGCATGAGGGGATGCATTGACGGAGGGGATGACGGCCTGACAGAACCTGCTCTCCTCGGGCAGCCACTGTGGCTTTGCCCAGAAGCATGAAGAGGAGATGCTCAGAGCTCCGGCAGGAGCTCAGCAGAAGTTCAGGCCTGCGATGGAGCCTGTTAATCGGAAAAACTCTCCAAATGGCAGGGGACACGACCCCTCCCAGCCCCAGACTTACCTGGAATGCTGATTTGCGAGGTGGCCCCTCATCTTCCTTCTTCAACTCCTCCTCTTCCTCTTCTTCACTGTCCGTTTCAAACAAGTAATAATCTCCACTCCTGACCACTAAGCAAAATAAAATAGTCACTTATTTCCTGAATGAAACACGAGACTGCTGGGGGCTTACTAATAAAATGCCCCTAAAAATATACAGATGGCCCATAGAAGGACCGCAGCAAGAGACGTTGGCAGAGGAGAAACTGAGATGAAGAGAACCAACTTCAGGCTAACGCTGCTACGTGATGTTGGCAGGGTGGGGTCCACGGAGCCTGAGGCCTTGTCTACACCACCCAGAGACCCGGCCTCTACAGGGCTGATCCGGTGTTTTCTCCCCTCTTGATTGTAAAATTTATACCGTTAACTCAGATCAACTCTGCAGCAACCGATTCTGTTACTGAAATAACTGAGAATACTGTTTTGCAATTCAGCAATATCGGTGGTTCAGACAAGGCCGGAGGGAAGTGGAGGGTCTGGCCCAGGCTGTTCCAGGGAGGCCAGAGGGGACGGCTCAGCACCCAGACCAGCGCAGCCAGCCTTCCGCTTCACTTCACACCGTGCAGACCTGGCTTCTCCACATGGACACATGAGACACAACATACATGACGAGACATTTCAAACAGTTAAACAACATACATGGCCGTGGGGGTGATGGGGGGGCAACACCGAGAACAGAAGGAAACACGAGGACAATGACAGTGATAGCAGTGACACTGCTTGGGCTGCTTCTAACATAGCAGCCCAGTCCACACGGGTCATGCCGCCAGCCTCTGGTCCACAGGCAGCTCCCGGGACGTAATGAGGCTCAGGAGAGTGCTAGGGACCAGAAGGCACAGGCACAGATAGTAACGGAGCGCCCCTGCCTTGTCTTTTACTTTCCCTGCAAAATCACAACACCTGGGTTAAGAGTTGGGAGCAGAGAAAATGTCCAGAGATTTTAAGAAATTCAATTCTTCTATCATTTTGATAAGTTTTGAGTTTATCAGAGAAAAGAGACCCAGCATATACATTTTGGATGCTACACGAACTGTACCATCATTGCAGGGAAACATATCTGCTGGGGTTTGCAGATGCAGGGTCTCTTTTCCGTAACATCTTGATGTCTGAGTTGACTTTTGGACTTAGGCATTGTAGTAATGGAAAACCTTGGCTTGTTTTCAAATCAGTTGCTTGGATATCACTCAACATGGTCAAAACTCAAGTAATTTTGCCCATGATTTCAGATGAATCTGAAGCCTCCATTCATGAAGACGTAGAATGAACAAATTGGGCCTTATATCCTTGAACAGAAGCACTGATTTGTTGATTTTATTTTGAAGAAAAAAACCAGGCCCAGAGTACTGGGTCCAGGCCTGAGGGAATAAATGCAATACAACATAAGGTAAGAAAAAGCAAGAACAAACCAAAGTTACAGCATTACGTTGGACAGTGAGGAGGACCGTGAAGAAATGCATCTACAGAAGCCCAGAGTCACAGGGACTCTGCATCGCACGGTCATGTGGGAAAACACAGTCTCACAAGAAGGAGCATTTCACCCTCATTACAAGTTCCGAAATCAACAGTGTTCAATCATACCTCCTGCAACTGTCATGCACACTGGTGAGCCCAACGGTTATTATCTCAAGCACTATATTTTAATTTTATAATTAGAAAATAATTTGTTATGTGAGTGAGTAGAATTAGCACATTAAAAACAAAGAAATGCTTTTGAGGACTTTTAAAACTGTAATTAAATGGAAGTTAGGAAAATAACAAGAGGAGTCTTTCTCCAGTGGTGCCTCCTAGTAATGGAAGGAAAGCTCTCAGGTGGACCAGAGTTCAGATGAAGATCCAGCTCCACACTGTCCCCGCAGGCTCTGTGGATGTTGAATATATTGCTGAGCTAGTGTGAAACCAGCTTTTTAAATCCTGCCATTGTATCCTCAGACACTTGGCCCTCATGGTGAGGTATTCATCGATGAAGCGAGGCTCAGTATTCACTCAGGCAGTGCTGAGACGGGCTGCACACGCAGCACCCACGGGAAGGTATCATTGAACAGCAATAATGCAGCCCATGTGTGCACATGGTATGGACATGGGAGAAGTGGCACCTTCGACCACACCAAGGCCTGCTGCCAATGTCACACAAACAGCAAGGCCATATTACATGTCACGGATTCACATGTGGCATTCTACTGCACACATTCTTATCCTTGACATTGCTAAGATAGCTCTCTTAGAAAGCCCAATCACTTGACAGATCAAAATAAGGCCTTTAATAAAATTCTTCCAGATTTAACAATAAGTTCTGAAACGTATCCAAGACTACAAAATAAACTACCCATGCTCTTCCTTGCATGCCTCTCAGGCTTGGAAAGAAAAACAGATCTCATAGAAAAAACTTAACACTGCTGTCGGAATGTGATTCCAAACCAAGAGCGACTCACGGTCCTGCGTTATTGCACCATCAGGTAGTGTAACCAGGCACACTTAGTGAATACCAGTGTTCAGGAATGTTGCATAATGAGGGTGAAATGGGTCAGAAAAGCCTAACTTCAGTAACCTTCACAGGAAGCTCTTCATATCATTCACAACTGGTAAGATGATCATCAAAGACCACATCCAGTTCCTCTGGAAGGGCGACACTGAGGTGGGAAAAGGAAAGACACCCACAGTGACTGCAGTGGGAACTGGTCCCAGTGGGGTCTGACATTCACGTGACACAATATGACATGGACAGGTCTCTGCACTGGCAAAGGCCCTTTGAGGACAGAGAGGTCGCACGGTTGACTTGTGACTTGACAGGAGTAGGCAACTGCACATAGCATCGCTTGGTCCTCGGCAGGGCTCACGTGCCAAAGGACAGTCCACCGAGAGTCACACTGGACTTTTGCTTGAACATTTCTCTTTGGATTTGAGCAGACAAATTGAATAAAACTCTTTATAAATCAATTTTTTTTTGGTCCAAAATGCTAAATTCAATATTGGGGATAAAATTCAATTGCATCCAGAAATACTGAGCCAATTTCATGAAACTAGTTTTCCGAGTTTTGGAGAATTTCCTCTGGAGTGAGAGAGGCCAACATCAGATCATCATGATGCTAAGCAATAGGTCGGGGAAGGTTCTGGTTTAGTTAGTTTTGTAATGATTCTGAAGATGCCCCTCCTGGGTCCCGCCCTGCTCTGTGAGGCATTTTGAGCTTGGTGATATTCCTTGTCTGACAGTTTTGGAGATGTGTCTCCATAAGCTATAACCAGGAAAGGCATCCCGACTCATTTTCAGAATACTAATCATTCCATATTCTAACATACCAAAGGAGGGCCAGATGCATGACAATGACATTGGCCAATGGTGACAGTTTCCTTGATAAGCAGAACAAAGACAACCCATAGGTCTCATGGCTGCTTCTTCACTGTCATGGTCAACAGGGAGGTGCGGAATGCTCTGCCTGGCCACCAAGCTCTGATTTTCTGATGTCTGCTGTCAGCTGGTCACTGGGGCCAGCTGGCTGTCCACTGGGCTACACTTTGGGCATGGGAGACCACAGAGCAGTTTCAGAGCCATTTTGAGATGGGGAAGGAGGCAGAGTGAGAAAGTCCTGCCTCAGCTTCGTGTTTAACGTGTTGCCACAGCCTTACTGCAGAGGAAATCAAAGCTTGGGAGAGGGGAGGGGAGGGCCCTGGCATCCATGCTGAGCACCTTACAAAGAGGGTCCCAGAGCCTTGGGGCCCAAGTCAGGATCCAAGGAGGAGCCTAAACTCACTTTAACCAGGGGTTTTAGCCAGAAAGCAAATATTGGCAGAGCTGCAGCCCCAGAGCTGGCCTGTTGGCCACCCGCTCAGCTTTCTGCAGAGACGCGGACACTGAGCTGGCTCCAGAGGAGCTCTCGCAGGGCCCCAGGCCCATGGACACGGCAGCTTTCCTGCCTGACCCCCTATGAAGTCACAAGGGCAAACCGTGCAAGGGACACACAGGTCATGGGGAGCCTGAATTCTGGTCAAGGATATAAGGGTGAGACTTGGTGAGACTGAAAGAGGATCGAGAAACCTACTGGAAGCATGATCGACCCAAGGCCGCCACCACTGCTTTTTTTTGCCCTTGGCTTTCTGTTTGTCTGCTTCTCCTAAAATGAAATATGTCCAGATATTAATTCTTAGAAAGTGAGCAAGCACATTTGAAAACCACGCTTTAACAATGCAATGTCAAACCTAGACAGACTGCCCAAGCCCATCAGAGTCAGGAAAAGGAACCACACTGAACCCGACAAGGAAACGTGCTAACAGGCCCCTCTGCACTGGCTTCTTCTAACCCGGTGCCACGTTTCCACATCTCCCTAGTAACTGAGTGCCTAGCAAGGAATTTTAAAAGGAGAAGGGATTATCTGTTAAAATGCACTGAGTTTTTCATTAAATCAACAGAAAAGAAGCCTCGCTGAACTTTTACAGAAACATTTAGAGGCAAATAGTTTCTAAAAACAGATAAATTACAATAAACAAACACTTTTCTTGTGATTAATTTAATGTGTTGATCAGAAAATATAAATTTACTGGTGATGAATAGACACTAGGTACTGGAAAGATTTCAATATGTGTTATTTCTCTATTCCTTTCAAATAGCAAAGCATGCAAGCCCCTCTAAACAGACCTTTAAAACTTTAACTGGCTACAATAATTCTATGATTAGATATAACAAATATATATTTCACACTGTTTTACTGAAATACATAATAACTGATATTTTAACTATCAATATTCAGATGCCAAATAAAATCATAGGCAGGCATGTTTAATACTCATATAAAACTTATAGAAATGAAAGGTAGCATATTTAACTATCTTCCCTACAGGCACAAATTAAGCAAAATCACACCAATTTCCTTCACGGGCAGATGTCTGTGAGACAGCGTTAGGCTTAGTGTTTATTTGAGACATCTTGCCCAAGAATGAAGTCATTCATTCATTAAATGAGTGTTTTAGGAAATAAATAAATGTACCCACTCACAAAGGGAGGGTAAGACTTGCTGACGCAGGTAGAGCAAGCAGCAGAGCCAGCGTACAGCCCCACCCGAACCAAGCTACTGCCCAGCACCTCAGAAGGGAGTGGGAGGACCCCGTGAACGTACTTTCATCGTCCTCTTCCGGGGGGTTCTGGACGTCCTGGCCTTCCCCAGCCTCCTGCGTCAAGCTCAGCATCCTCTCCTTACCCTTTTTGTACTTCTGCTGTCTGGCCTTGATGCGGTCCATCCTAGGAAATAAACCAGAGTTGGCGATGCCAGGGCCACCTTTGGGGACTGTGGACTCCACTGCCAGGCGTACTTCTAAAATCATGGATGGCAGGGCCAATTCACTTTGAAATCCTCAATGGTGAAACAATTGCTTCTCAGATGAAGCATCTCCCTGCTCTTTATATAATCTCCACGCTACTCTGCCCTCCACAGTGGCTCGACTTGAGAACCGGATCAGTGATTGCTGTGCTGGGTTTGGCCTGCAGGCCACAGTATGCGTTCACACCTGGTGTCACAGCCAGTCTGAACAAAATGCACTCTAAGGTGTAAGTCCTTTATACCCCTAAATTTGGCATTCTTCTTCTTCTTCTACATTTTTTTTTTGTACCAGGGATTGAACCCAGGGGTGCTTAACCAGTGAGCCACATCCCTGTCCCCCCTTTTTATTTTATGTTCTATTTAGAGACAGGGTTTTGCTGAGTTGCTTAGGGCCTTGTTGAGGCTGGCCTTGGATTTGTGATCCTCGTGTCATAGACTCCTGAGTCACTGGGATGACAGGTACGCACCACTGCGCCTGGCCAACTTTTGCATTCTTAAACAGAAAAATTCAGCAGTAATCACAACTCAGGCCTCCTGGGACATGAGAAGCACATCCTAATGTGGGTCCAAATTGTCATTCCTCTGGATCCGTGTTGGTGGGCCAGAAACAATGCTAACACAGTTGTGACACGGTGCACTGGTATTAGGTGTTTACGTATAACTTACATCTTTGTGCAAATGTCCAGGACATGGACCCATCTAGTTAATACCAGGAAGCACTTCTGCTGAGGGTGGAGAAAGCTTGGAAATGAAGTCAGAAGGGAATGAAGCTGCTCCTGAAAACTCGGGAAACTTTACTGGGGACTGAGAGAGATCTCCATTTTCTTGGCAAAGTGTCAGCCCTTGGGGACCTCAGGCTCTTGAAAAGTCTACTCATGCCATCTTTAACTCCACTGCCATCAGCTTTCACACCTTACCCCTGACGCTATAAGGTCCATTCCCTGCTAAGAATTACGCTCAGCAAATTCTTTTCAATAATTCCCAAATCTCCCGAGAGGAGCCAGTCTATGCCATGACCCAGCCACAATGGCACAGTGGGAAGGCTCTGGACTGGACATGGGCCGAGATGAACTGCACTCCTCAGGCTGCCTGTGCCCCGTGGGGCTCTCAGTCTTTCAGAACCAGAGCTTCTTTCTGGATTACATGATTTCAAGATGCTTCCAGAGCTGACCCCACGTTTATCCCCTTGACCTGAGATGCAAGGAGCCTTTTCTGTCTCATTCATGAACTACTTTAGTCTCTACAAAAATCCAGGAAGGTGGGCCTGTGAGATGTAGCTTAGGGGCAGGAACCTGAGGCTCAGAGACCTGCAGAGCTTCTCCAGGTCCTCCGGGAAGCACCTGAGCTAGGAACTGCTCGTGTCTTTCTCAGGATGGCCCCTGCCACCATTCTGGAACTCTCTTCTTTAGGCTAGGAGGCTCTCGCGACTGCTCTGACTCAGTAAACACACGGGAAGTTGCGAACTGTCACACACACAGACTTTCCAAGGCTCTGAGGCCTCCAAGGGCTGAGAGCTAAATATGGTCCCACAGATCAGAAGAAGGAAGAGAAGGAGAGTGAAAGCCTCTTACTGTCTCTTCAGCTGGTCCATGGACCTCTTCTCCTCCTCGATCCTTGCCTTTACAGCCTTGACAATCGTGGCCTGGAAAAGTTCGGCTCCCCTAAGGGAAAATTGGAAACACGGAGCCGCTTAGTAGCTGGCCTTCCCTTGAGAACCATCATGGATGGGCAGGAAACGTGGCTTCCCTGTGCTGGTGACACTGAAGCTTCCTGGTGGCAGTGGGAGTCACCAACCCCTCTGGAGCAGCCTCCCAGGGGAGGAAGTGGGCTGCATGCCCTCACAAGGTGCCACTCTCCCGTGTTTCCTACTGGGCCTTGGCAGAGTTGGCCATGAGGAAAGGGTTTGCAAAGATGGCGGGGTTTCCACTCAGCCAGCAGGAAAGCCCAGGGGTGCAAGTGGAGCAGAGGTCCTCTCCACCATGGGGCCTCCAGCCTCTGGCTGCTCATCCTCTTCCTCCTCTCCTCTGCCCCCCTTCTTCCTCCCTTCTCCAGCCAGCTGAAGTGTCCCTATAAATCTCGGCCTCTCAATATCCTCAACTCTGACTGCTGTCACCTGCTTGGGAAACCCAAGTCCAGGGACTGTGTTGGGCGGGGGGCAGCCCTCAGCTGCTGAACACAGCCCACCCGAGGGCAGACTTCTCTGGGCCCCTGCTCCCTGGAAATCCCTCCTCTTCTCTACAGCACTGTTTTTCAGCTCAATTCCGAATTCTGCCAAGTGGTCTTCACTGCTAGTGATGACATCGCTTCCTAGAGAGACCATCCTCAGGTGGCATTATGTAGCTCAGCGCCCGGCCACCCTTCCTTTCCCATGTGCCGCCTTCCTGCCTGTGGCCCGCCCTGTGCTCTGGCTCTTCCTGCCTCCGCCTGAGTTCCCCACTCCTCCCCCTGCCCTCTGGCCTTCCCCACCACTGCTGGTCACCAGCAGGCAAGTGACATCGAGGCTCGCTAGTCCTGAAAAATGAAAAAGAATCCTAGTCACCCCACGCCTCGCTGTGCACACTCAGGCCGTCCCTCCCCGTGGCTGAACTTCCCTCTGGAGCCTCCTGGGGCTGCCACCTGCACTGTCCCCTCCAGCTCCTGCTCTCTCCAGGCTGCAGCACGGGGTGGGAGCTGTCATAGCAGGCCCTGCATGCCACCACCCTGCCGAAGGGCTCTCCTGCTCCCCCAGCTGCCTGCCACCACGTGGCTGTTGGTTCAGGGTCTGTGTCCTTCCCCATCCACACTGAAGCCCCGCGTGCTAGAGGCCTTGGTGTTGGGAGTGGGGCCTTTGGGAGGGGACAGGTCGTGATCAGCATGAAAGCTCCGGTGAAGAGGCCCAGGTGGCCTCCAGCTCTTCCCTCCCCCATGGAGGACACAGTGAGGAGGGGCTGTCCACGCAGAACAGGCCTTCCCCGGCTTCGAATCTGCTGGCACCTCCGTCCTGGACATCCCAGCCTCTGGAACTATGAGAAACAGGCTCCTGTTGTTTGTGAGCCACCTTGGATTGGAACTTGTGTCATGGTGGCCTGGGCTGCGACAAAGCCAGGCACATGTGGGCAGCGGCTGGGTCACCTGTCTTTGTCCTTTCTAGCCTGTAAGCTCTGTGAGAGTTGGGGCCCACCTCCTGTCCTCATAACAGGGCAGGCAGTGAACCAAAGAAGGCTTGTGGGAGTGAATGAACATGCGTGTGTTCTCTGGAAACTGCCTTGGGAGTTCAACGTCCATCAATCAGAGCAGGACTTCCTGTGTGAGCACAGGTATGCTCTGAACAAAGCCATCACTCCTACTGCACCCAGGGGACATGCTGTCCAAATAATTGTGACAACAATTGGAAAAAGACATTGGCTTTCTATAATGTCTGGGACTTCTAAGGACCATATATTTTGGGGAGGGTGATAAAGAAAAAAAGTATTTGCCTGCAAAATTACCAGCTGCTCTGTACAAATGAGGTCACCTCTGACTGAGACACTGTCCTCTGCTACAGAAATGATGTCCAGCATATTAGAAAACAATTGTGCTGGTCAACTGCAGGACTTGTACTGTTCCCCTAGGTGGTGCGGGACCCAGGCTGCTGGGAGAAAGTGCGGCTTCCTAGATTTCTTTTCCTACAAGGCAGACAGTCAGGTGGCAAAGGCCAGGGTTGCTGCATGTGTATGGACTTTTGAAATCAATGTTTTATTTCTCCTGGAAGGGAAAGGAAACAAGGCTCCAGGGAAATGGGTGGCATAGACACAGACGCACGAGCTTAAGCCATATGCGGATGGTAAATGAGGGTGATGTCACATTCCACAGCCTGATGTCTGCTGGATGGTGAGCACCAAGGATCCCGTGGGATCTGGGGAGGGTCAGCACCTGTGAGATGAGCCCAGCATTGGGGTCACACAGGAGCACTGACCCTCCTGCCAGGATGGCTTGCAGGCCCTTCCTAGTGCTCCGCCCAGTCTGCTTCCCGAGCCTGTAGATCAGGGGCAACACTTGCAAGAGAAGAAATGGTGGCAATGCAAATCCTGCCAGCAGCCTAGAGAAGAAAATCAGTGGGCAGGAAGAGACCAGAGGGAAGGAGGGGGCCGGAAGGACACCTCAGAGGACTCAGAACAAGCGAGGCTGCTGGGCTACACTGTTCCCTTGCAGTTGTGGAGGGAATCCTCACTCTTCTCCACGATGGCTGTTAATTTCCCTTCCTACCAGCAGGGCACGGGTCCCTTCTCGCCCACCCTCCCTGGCATTTACGTTTTGAGGAGAGCTATTCTGAGTGGCTGGGGTGACCCACAGTGGGGTTCTGATCGACATTTCCCTGATGGTACTCTTGCTGAGAGGCGCCTCATGCACTCCCTGGCCACTTGTATCTTCTTTCTTTCTCTGTTTTAAGGTGCTGGGACCACCCCATCCCCACCCAGGGCCCGTGCACAACAGGCACATGCTCACCACTGAGCTATACTCTCAGCCCCCATTTGCATATTTTCTGTAAAAAAATGCCTATTTAGATTAGTTGTCTATTTTGTGAGATTTTTTTTGTTGTTGTTAAGCTTTTTGACTTCCTTCTCCACTAACGATCTGCTACATCATAGATGATAGTCATGGTTTTCTCTGTTTTCGAGAGTTTCTTCTTAAAGAAGAGGTAGGGAGGGGAAAGACAGAGGCTCAGAACCAGCACTGGCCCTGCCCCAGGGAGGGTGTGTGGCAGGTTTCAGTCAGCCCAGGCCCCTCTGAGCTTCTGCAGGGCCCAACTCCTGGGAAGTGTCACTCTCATCAGACTCCGAGTTTCTACACCATGTGGGTCTTAACAGCCTGGGCTAGATTTTCCTTGCTTTCCTGGAGAGGATGTCTCAGTTTCTGTGGTTTCTCCGAGCAGGCTCAGACAGAAAGCAGGTGGGTGCTACTCAGCACACTTTCTAGGAGAGCAGCCACGTGCTTCCGTGGCCGGACCCACCTGGAAGCCAGGATCTGGGAAGCTTTGATGTCGGCCACGACGTGCAGGAAGTAGTAGCTCATGAACACGCGTCTCTGCAGCAGGAGGAAGGCAAAGCAGATGCTGTCCCAGATGATCCCGGCCTCCCCGCTGGGCAGTCTGCAGGAGGCGTCATCCTCGGCTGTGTGACAAGAGGAAAACCCGCTGGAGCCGACTTCCCTCCCACAGTCACCCTGTGGCCTGCCTGAGTGCAGGGATCACAGAGGCCCAAGAGCAGGGTTCTCATGTGCTACTTACAGGGTGACCCATTACAAATGACGCACACACTTCAAATCTAGCATCAGCGTGAACTCATTGGGCTATGACACAGCGTCTCTTGACCTTCGGCAGAGAGGCCTCTGTGCCTGTCTCTCCCTTAGGGACCCCCAACGAGGGCCATGGGGTACTCCCCGTGTGCAGTGACAGATGAAACGCTCTGTTCAACAAAACACAGCTGTCCTACCGCAGGCTCTGTGGGGTGACGCCATGCCAAGGGACACGGATGGTCTTTAGAGGAGGTGGAGTGAGCAGCCCCCTGGATCCTCAGTCAAAGGCCATCCCTCGTGGTACTCAACTGCAAAGTGCAGCCTGAGCCACCAGCCACGGTGCGGGAGGCTTGGATACAAGCGGCCCCCATCCTGGCCCACAGAAGACCCCCATGTTGTCATGGTCTGAGCTTGATCAATATAGATTATAAATTATAGAGTATAGGTTATGGAATATTAATAAGTAGGATAATAGGAATATGTGATAAGTGTTATAGAATAAATAATGTTAAGCTGTTTCTAAGATGCTACAGATTGTTTTTCTGTACTTCATATGCCCACAAATGTGCTTGAATCCAGGATGCTGTCTGTTTTGCTCTGCTGACTGCTTTCTTAGCCCTGGCATCCTGTTGCTTGCCTGCACCTATGTTTTTGAGGATGTGGTTTTTCCCCTTATAAACCCCACAGAACTCGGATACTGGTCCTAGCAAAGACAATTCGGGTCCTGCAGGGAGCAGTCCCAGCTGACTAAATAGAAGACCTTCTAATTTGGACAAAATTCAGACGGAGAGTGTTTCCTGAGTGATTAGCCCACAACCATGTGACACAGCCCTGCCTGGGCTCTGTTGCAAGGGGCAGGGTGGTGGGGACAGCATGTCCCTTAGTCCGTGTGCAGGTCTAGTTCCAGAAATCCCAGGGACCTCCCAATGGTTTGCATTTACAGATCCCTGAACTTCTTGAGGAGAGAAAGTTCTGGAAGTCTCATCACCTTGAGACCCCTGAGTCTAACCAGAGCAACTCCAGTTTTGGGTGGGCCCTAGAGTCCTTCCCTATCGTAGGTAGCTCAGAGGAGTTCAGGGAGTCACAATAGCACTGCACCCAGTCTCCAGACCTGCTGGGTGGGCAGTGTCTAGGAAGTGACCCAAGGTGCCTGGAGCGAAGGCACCTCATGCCATGGCCCTCAGGTCCACAGCGCGCTCCCTTTCCATTGCTTCCACCCGAGGCACCATCGACCTCCACCTTGGACTCTTCTCTTTGTGTGCTTGGGCCCAGTTTCTAAGTCAGAGCAGTCCTGCTCCACGTCCCTCCTTTCTGATGTCCACTACACATGGGCCTCTTGTACTTACGCATGGTGTAGCCCTTGACGGTGCAGGCCAGGCTGAAGGCCTGGATCAACCAGCAACTCTTCTTCACCAACGTTCCAATGTATCCACACGCGCCTATCTGAAAAACAGACAGAGGCAGGGTCTGAAACTGCACCCTGAAAACAAGCTGGGGTCTCGTGACCCCAACAGGTGCAAGAACTCACAAGGGCCTGGTGCCAGAGATCAAGAGGGCGCACGTGGGACCCAATCTCAGACACCACGCGGCCCTGCACTGGCAGCTCCTGGAGCCCTGGAAGTCCCTGGGCAAATCAGACCCACGCACACAGCCAGGGTCTTCGGAGCAGCGCTGCTGCATGTGGAAGCACCTCTTGTTGAGAGGAGACCTGGGCTGTGGGGGGAATAAGCCAAGCCCCATTATTGTGAATGGGTGCACTCTGGGCCCCTGTTTTGATTCTGTGTTCCCAGGAGCCATCCCAGACACAGCTGCAGGAACAGGCCATCCACCCTCACCCACAGGAGCTGCAGCCAAGGACCCCACCAGGTGGACAGGAGAGCGAGCCGGTGCTGTTCCTCGGTCCGTCCACATGGTTTAGCCAGGCCCTAATCAGAGGCTGCCCTAGGCTGCACTCTCTCCCAGGTCTCTCCATTTCTGGCACGCGGGATTTCTTGCATCCTGCCTCCATTCCACCTTATTCCCCACGCCACACAGAGAATTATGCTCATTTCATTTCACTTTACACCTCTACAGTTCTTTGCGAGTAAGAGAGTTGTATTTTTGTGAATATGATATGACTGAAAAACTTCAACAAACTGGGCATGGTGGTGCACTCCTGTAATTGCAGGGACTCAGGAGGCTGAGGCAGGAGGATTGCAAGTTTGAGGTCAGCCTCTGCAACTTAGTGGGACCCTAACTTAGTGAGAACCTGCCTCAAAATAAAAGAAAAGGAGAAGAGAAAGAGCAGGGAATGGAACTCAGAGGTAGAGCCAACCCTGGGTTTAATCCCTAGTACCGCAAACACCAAAACCAATTCACAGCTTCCCGTGGAGCCACCAAAGGCCCCTTCAAGCACATACTGTGAGTGATAAGATGGTTCCTCAGAAGGGATGGGACTTAAGTTAATAAAACACATTCTAGAATTTTTCCAGTGAATACAACCCTTTCATCATGTGACCTTGAAACCGTGGAAAAGAGCAAAATGTGTTCTGCTGAATTTGGCAACGCACAGTCATAATGGTCCTGGGGATCCTGAATTGGCAGCATCTTGTTTGGGGCTTTTGAGAGCTGTAGGAGAGGCTCGGGGCTCCTGATAACCACCGAGTGCTGATCCACTCTCACGTGGAAGCCGCATCTGTGCTGTGTTGGGAGGCACTTACCGACAGTATATTCTTCATGGTGATCACAAAAACGTTGTAGGCTATCAGCCAGTCCCAGTAGCGCAGGATGCTCTTGATGGGTTTCAGTAGCAAATCGCCCCCGAAGAGCAGGAAGTAGAAACAGGCCACCAGGTAACCCATACAAAATATGCTGATCCTGGTTGTCCCAGTAATGAAGATGATTGTCAGCACGAACCAGAAGAGGTAGCTGAAGATGATGACCTTGGACATGTCCAAGTAGGATCTGGAAAGAACCAAAGGACACGGGGCAACAGGAGAGCAGACGGGCACAGAGCGGGGAGTTTCTGTTTGAAGAAGGGAAAGAACTCAGCCCCATGGGTTGCCCACGAGAGCCGTTTCAGAGCCCGCCAGCGGCTCTGGCTCCACCTTTCCTTCTCGTGGGGGCACTCTCCCGCAATCAGCGCCACCATAACTGCACCTGCTACCACCATCATCGTGTGGATCACGTTTCTCACACACAGCCATGTTCTCGGCCTACCACTTGGTGTTCAAAATGCCACTGTTTTTCCATGGAAGGGATGGATCATGGTATGGCAACAGAAATTGTAACGCAGATACCAAATCAATTCTAAAACTTAGCGTTTCTTGCTAGAATATCTTGGCTGGCAAGAAACAAATGAACATGCATTCCTTTTCCTGAGCTAGAAATTAGCAGAAGAAACAAACCCATAAACATACGAAGATTTTACTAGAAATGAAAAGGTCTCCATAGAGATGGGGACTAGTTCTGATACAGACACTGCCAGATGGGACCCTGGGCTTTTTAGCACTCTGCCTTTGGTCGTCCCGGGCTGAGTCAGGGTTCCTTTTGGGGGGCCTATCCCTCCACAATGGCCTTCTTGATGGAAGGGGAGAATAGCCTCTGCCAGAGTCATAGCTGACAGGAACACTCCCTGCAGGCCGAGGCCACCCATGATTGTTTGGTCACAGCTTTTGGTCTTGGGTGGTTTTGCTGTGGATGCGTCTCTACCCAGATTTGGGGAGAAGCAAAGCAAAACGAGTTCTGGATTAGTTCTTTGATTAACGGGTTGTTATTTTGCAGGGTGTCAATAAACCATCTCTTAATAAAACATGAACTGTACTTGACCTGTCCAGTGTTATTAGGGAAGGAGCATTTTTTTCAGATGTGTGAACTTTTAGCCTTTATGTTTTGCAGAGTAAAACACTTAAAATGTTTTTGTGAATTTTTTTTTAATCTAAAATATATTTCACCCCCCTTGACTTTCTAAGCAAAGGAGAGCAGATAATAAGCCAGTGTTTCTCAGTGAGCCAGGACCTCTGGGGTGGAGTCGGTGACACACAGAGCTCCCAGTCCCTACTGAAGCCCATATGGGGGACTTCCCTGGACCTGGGATGGAGCACCCTGAGTGCACGTGGGGGCTGTGCGGGGCCTTCACAGGTGCATCCCTGGCCAGGAGCCTCCCGGTGTCACAGTGCAGAGCTGGTGGAGAAAATGTGGGAAACACCAGCAGATGAGGATCCTCCAGGTCCTAGAGAGAACTGATTTGAGTCCTGGTGACAGGTGGCAGGGTCCAGAGGGCGTTCCCTGTCAGAGCACAGAGAGAGGAAGTGTGGAGCCACTCAAACCTGAGGGCGGGCTGGAGGAGGGCTGCACCCCTTACATCCGCACCTGCTCAGGGCTTCCCACAAGGCCACCTGCTATGGGGCCCCTTATGTCACTACCACGGGACGTGACTGTTCACTTCCCACCATAGGGGTGTGTGCCTGTCACTTTCTGCTATTCCTAACTGATAAACAGATCTAAAAACTTGAAACAATCTAATTTTCAAAATAAGATTCAGCCTTAAAAACCAGTGATGGGTAGAGGCTTCTGCCTGGGTTGGTCTTTAGGGGAGCTCTGCTGCTGCGCTGAAGAACTTACTCCCTTTGCGCTGGGGGGGAGGGTGTGTGCTGGGGCCACCTTTCTCTCACATCAAGAGAAGAGGCGAGACTGGGAACCCTGCCTGAGACCAGTGTTCATACGGCACGTCACTCAGAAAGGCCATCTTCAAGCCAATTTGCTTGTTGGGTATTTACTCAGTGCGCACTGAGCTTCTGACAGAGCCAGAGCACACTTGGTGCAGGGCTGGGCTGATGGGCCAGATCCTTGTGCTCTGGTCCCTGGGCCTCAGCTCTACCTGGCGGTCTTCTCATCTGCAAATGGGGTGATATCACCTGCACACAGGTGGCCTTTGGGTGGCAATGGCTCCACACACAGAAAGCACCTGGAACAGAGCCTGGCTCTTTGAAAGCACAGGATAACTCTTAAAGTGACCCTATCCCTCGTAGTGCCAAAGCCATAGGGTGGGATGGGCACACGAGTGAATAGGTGAGAAGGGGACTCACCCCTCAGAAGGGGGCAGAGTGGGTGGGGTAACGGCACCAGGTTAGAGGGCGGTCGCGCTGTTTAAACAGGACTCTCCTGGCTGTGACTGCAGGAGCCCCTCCCGGTCCCCTCACCACGGAAGGAGCCAGCTGCCACCCTGTGAGACTCCAAGGCCAGGCAGTTGGTCCACAGCCTCTCACCAGCTGTGCTGGCTCCTGGGTGGCTCTGAGCCCTCAAGGGTGGAAAGAGCTGCGTGTGGAGGCTGAGCCGGCGTGCCTCCAAGAAGGGGAGGCCAGGCAGGGCCGAAGGGACCAGGGAGAAGCAAAGCCAGCAACACAGCCTGGGAGACAACCAGCTCTCAACACCAGGCCCAGGTGTCCCTGATGGGGAAGATGGTGGAGGTCAGCAAAGGTGCTGTGGAGCAGAGGACGGGGATGGGAGGGAGGAGGGCACAGTGGGGGGCACTGGACGGAGGACTTTGTGCATCCATGAGCATGTGTAAGTGGGCCCTACCATCACGGTGGCCAAGGCGGGCCCCACTGTCACATGTGACTAAAATGCACTAGTTAAATAAGTCACACCCACCTTACAAGAGGCTCTAACGGGAGCCCAGGCCGAGACACAGGAGAGCGAGAGGAGAGCAGCAGCACAGGCGGCTCTAGACCCTCACTCCTCAGGGCCCAGAACACACAGGAGGTGAGAGAGCCGAGGGACAGGGGCGGGGGAGGGCGGAGGGTGAGGAGGGGTGTGGACAAGGAGGAGGGATAGAGGATGAGCAGACAGAACAGGGACGAGGAGGAGGGACAGGGATGAGGAAGGGGGCAAGATGATGGCAATGAGGAAGGGGAGCGAAGACGAGGAGGAGGGACGAAGGATACAGGAGGTACGAAAATGGAGAGGAGGGAGGGACAGGTGAGGATGAGTGATGGGCCACAGGGAGGAGGGAGGGAGATGAAGGGGGACCAGGGATGAGAGGGGACCGGGGATGGGAGGGGATGGGGGATGAGGGGGGATTGGGAGGGGATGGAGGATGAGGGGGGATGGAGGATGAGGAGGGGATAAAGGTGAGGGGGGATGGGGAGAGGAGATGAGGAGGATGGAGGATGAGGAAAATGTGGGATGAGGGGGGATGGGGAATGAGGAGGGATGGAGGATGAGGAGGAGGGATGAGAAATGAGGGGACATGGAGGAGGAGATGGGGAAGGAGGAGGAGATGGGGAATGAGGAAGGGATGGAAGATGAGGAGGGGGATGGGAGATGAGGAGGGGATGGGGGATGGAGGGGGATGGGGATGAGGAGGAGGGGTGGGGATGAGGGGGCATGGAGAGCGGGAGGTGATGGGGATGAGGAGAGGGATGAGGAGGAGGGGTGGGGATGAGGAAGAGGGATGGGATGAGAAGGGGTGGCAGAGGATGCTGGGGAGTTGGGGTGAAGGTCTGAAGGTGAGGAGGTTTTTCTGGAGAGCTGCTACAGGGTATGATTGACATGAGTCGGCTTCGTATGATGAGGAGGAAAGCGGAGGCCACAGAAGGAGGCCAACACTGATGGTAGCCTCAGTATGGAGGCTCCCATTCATAGCTTTGGGGTCTGTAGTTCAGCAGATCTCCTCCCCAGCCCAGCAGAGGGAGGAGGGGAGAGTGGGCCACGCGAGGTGCCCAGGACGGAGCTGCTGGGTGGCACTCAGCGTCACCTGCAGTGGATGAAGTCTGGCACGGGGTTGTGCTGGCTGAAGGAGGCCGCATCCAGGTTCATGCAGATCTCCACGTTGTCCCCGGCCATGATCCGCACGGCAGCTTTATTCTCATCCTCAAAGATCTGCCGCTGCAGGGAGGCGCACAGGAGCAGCATGAAGTCGTCTGCAGGACAAGGGCGACACTGGCACCTGCTCTCTTCTGGGCTCCCTCGGGCAGCACAGTCACCCCCGAGTGAGCCGGGCCCCAAAGCGCTCCGTAAAAGCCATCCTGGACACCAAGGCCAGGCCAAGGGCATCTGCAGCATGGGGAGCTGTGAGAGGGCGGTCTGGGTTTCGCCTGCATGGCGGGCAGTGAGGGTGCTGGGCTAGGGAGCGTCCTTCCTGGCCTGGGTCTCCGCCCGTGTCCAGGCACCTGGAGCTGTTGCCCTGCTGACCTCCCCACCTGTTGTGGGTGCAGACATCCTGTTCTATTTGACCTTGTCCTCTCTCTGCATTTGTAACCCAAGGCCATTCCCAGCCAGGCACCAGAGAGAGGGGGAGGGCAGAGAGCGTGTGGGCAGAGGGGATGTGAGCCTGGCAGGCTGCAGCCCTGCTGAGCCCCTCATTTTAAACCTGAGTATGTGGGGGCAGCTGCCACTCCAGAGCCACTCCCTGCCATCCCGGGTGGCGCAGCGTCTCTAGCCCTGGGCTCACCAGCCCATGAGATGGCCCTGACAAGGTACCCAGTGACCCCAAGTCTGGGAGGTAGGTATCCTCCTCACTGTCACAGCCCTGCTCTATTTGGGTCTGTCTGTGGTGGCAGCTGGGAACCCTTCCCGGCCCCAGGCTCCCTCCCTGAACTGTCTTGTGAAAGGCGGGCGTGCAGGTGTGTGAGGGTGTCTCGGGGTGAGAGGACTCCAGTGAACACAGAATCTCCAATGTTGACTTGTTAATTCTGCAAATGCAACAGAGCGAGGAAGAGCCATTCCTGACTGGTGATAGGGTTATAAGGTCCAGCGGAAGACCAGCGGTCCTGGGCACCCTGTGAGGACTGAGGAGCCCATGTAAACCCAGCTGCTGATGTCTCAGGGCCCTGAGACACTCACAGACGAGAAACACTGGGTTCGGCCGCACGATGAAATCCGGGAAGTACAGCCACTTGATGATGTTGTCGTTGAAGTCGGCGCCCTTGAACCTCCATGGGTAATCTGCAGGGAGGGCCACAGGCAGAATCAGTCTCTTGCACTGGTCTACCAAGTGCCCTTGGGCGAAGCCGCCTGGGGAGTGCCCTCACCTCGGCAGGGGGCAGGCGGGATGCCAATGCAGATGAAGTACTGGAAGGTGATGATGCAGGCCAGGAAGCAGCAGTACTTGGGCCAGACCTCCGCGATGGCCTTTCTTCTGCGTCGGTACAGGACAGCAATGAGCCAGCAGGCGTGAATCATGGCATAGAAATCCATTCGCTGGCCGATCACGTTCACTGACATTAGGAAACAGGTCTGCGTAAGGGTGACAAGAGGTGAAAACACATGGGGTTTGCAGGGAAGGGGAGCACATCAGGAGCCACACCTGCGTGGGTCCCCGCATCTTGCTCTTTTGAAAGCCTTTTAGCCTGAAGGCAGATCCACAGGTTACCTCCAAAGGAGCACCTGACTGAGTCACTGTCATGAGACCCACTTCAAACTGGAGAGGACGCAGGCAGACAGTGGTAATGACTTCATGATACAGCACCCCTGCAAATTCACCCTATTAAATAAAGGGCAGGAACTACCAGCACAACTTCAGGTTAAAACAGCTCCCTGGAGCTGCAGGTTATACTCTGAATGCTCGAAAGCAAAGATGGTTGAGAATATTTTACTCTTTACAAGTAACTAATGTGAGGACTAGACTGTGACTTAATGGTGAGGCCCTTGCCCAGAACATACAGGTCCTGGGTTCCAACCCCAGCACAAAGCTGGCGGGAGAACTAATAAGACAACGGATGTTCATGCACCCAGATGGCTCTTGAGATCCCAAGAGGCCAAGTGCCTGGCTGCAGAGTAAGGGGCATTGGTCCCCAGACTTGGGAAATGCCACTGCATCAATAGAGCACTCTCTGTGGACCTGAGGAGTCAGTCTGCATGGGCCGGAGTGTGGAATAGCTCCAGTGGCCAACGGGCCTGAGATGGCTATTTATATGTTTGTGTAAAGAGAAATAAAACACATTGGCAAGAAAACTCACCTCCAGGCCAAACTTGTAGAAGAAGTAGTTTATGAAATATTTGGCACAGTTAATAAGTCCATCATCCAGATGCATTCTTGTGATGTCATGAAAGATAGTTTTGGACACAGGGGCAGTAAGGTTGTTTCGACCCCGATAGTACTCCTGATGGCGGTAAATGGTAACTTCGAAGGCCAGAATGGCCAACATCAGGAGGTTATTCTACAAAGAATAAGCAAGAACGTACAGCTGTTTGCCAAGGGCTTTATGAGTTTCAGCTTGAGCCATTCCTATAATGTCACTGCTCTTGATTCGTAATGTCTAAAGCACAGTGTTTTACAAAACCCCACCTTTATGACTCCTACTGCACTCAAGGCTCATTCTGTCGTCTTATTTACTATGGTGTTGTCTCCACTGTGGAAATGGGGCTAATCTCCATGGCAACAGGACTCAGAATCTCTGGACACGAGGCAGTGGCTGTGCTCCTAATCCTGGAGAAGTGCTCCACACCGGGGGTACCTGGCCCCGGGGGGTTGCTGGCAACCAGAGGGGCCAACGGTGCAGACACATCCTGGGAAACACATTGCGCCAGCCACAGGGGACACCTTTACCACCTCTGACGTCTGACTGGAGTGGGCAGTGAATTGAGAAGCATGCTCACAACGGAGCAGTAGTGTGAAAACAGCAGGAGTGGTGAGAAGAGCCCACGTGGGTCCCCACACTGCTCTAACCACCCTTTTCAAGTATCGATTTGTCTTATCCTTTTCACAGCCACTGGGGGCTGAGACCTTTCCCAAAGGTATCTACTGTATTAGGAAAACTAGCAGCTACTCACAGAAGACAGAGGTCTAGGGCCTTTGAGGTCCAGACATGGAGCAGAAAGGTCTTACTTCTAAGGGCTCTGTCCACGCAGTACAGACAGGGCTGCTTAGATTATCCACCAAGGTCAAATGTGAAGCATGGAAGGTATAATGTTTTCATCTCTTTGCAACTAAAGTTCTTTTTTTGCAAAGGTAATGCTTTATTCTTTCTAAATGTAGTAAATGGTCTTTATTAAAAATCACAGGGAAACACCTGGGAATGGTGGCACATGCCTATAATCCCAGTGGCTTGGGAGACTGAAGCAGGAGGATCAAAAGTTCAAAGTCAGCCTCAGCAACTGAGTGAGACCCAGTTTCAAAATAAAAAGGTCTAGGGATATGGCACAGAGGTTAAGCACCCTAGGTTCAATTCCTGGTAAATAATAATAATTATAAGGAGAAACATAATTTAGACAGCAAAAGTTTCTTGTAAAATAACATCTCCTTCTCAGAAATTATCACTATTGACAATTTGATATATTGTATCCCATATTTTTCTTTGCACAGTGTTTTAAGACTTGCTTTTTTAAAACTGGACAACGTATTTTGGACATGTTTCAGTTCTGAGAACCCAGTGACCTTGCTCTTGGAATGTGACAAGGCACTTGGTGAATGTATGCGGCACACTGTATTCAGTCAAGCTCAGACTGCTGGCCAGCTTCTCTTTGGTGCAATAATGATCTGTCACAGGAATTTGTTGCAAGCATGATTCCAAATGCCACATGAGAAGAGGAGGTTCTATCTAATGGAATACTAACGGTCTCGAGGGGAAGGATTCCAAACTGTGCTGAGCTCTAAGTAGGAACAAAAGTGCCCTTACCCTCAGGTAGACAAGCAAGGGAGAAGACTTCCTCAGGCCAACCCACTCAGTGGGGTCAATAGGCGCACTGTAGAGGAGGGACTTGTTCAGGTCCTGCAGGGGTATGTTGGTTTGGTTTTCATTGGGCTGAAAAAAATGAAAATGGAGTGAAAAATGGCTCTCCAGATTGGGTGAGTTCAGGTGTCCTCCTTCAGCTTGGACCAAAGGGACAGGGGTGGGATAGGGAGGGAAAGGCCCAGTGTGAGGGGGAGGTCCCCGCTGGAGGGAGGCAGAGGTCCAGCACAGAGGGCAGGACAGACAGGGCCTGGATGGGGTGACTCACAGGCTGGACAGAATGAGCGTGTGGCAGCTGGCCCTCCAACTGCCTTGCTTCCCTGAAGGGCAGTGGGACCCCTCCCCCTGGCTCACCAAGGAGCAGTTAACAGAGAAGCTCTCGGGCTTGATGGTTTGCAGCTGGTACAGCATCTTGCAGACGATGATCACACAGGTCCAGACGGTGCAGATGCTGGAAGCCACACGGCGGAGCTTGGCGTAAGGCAGAGCGAAAGCCCAAGAAATCAAAAACACATAGTTGAACAGAGACACCTGCAGACATGGAATCAGAAATGGAGACAGGAACACACAACATGACGTGACATCCACAAGCACAATGACCCGACCTCTGACCTGCAAGGGGGGTTGAGGTCTGAGCACGTGCAAGGCATTGCCTCTGTGCTGGGCACTAGGGGAGTGAGCCCAGGGCCCAAGGACACTGTGTCTTCTGTGGAAGACAGACGAGGAACAAGGTGATGCCAGTGTAGGGCAATGATGGCTGAGCTGAAGATGTGAACAGGCTCTTGCCTGAGGCCCAGGAGGCATCCTGGCTCCAGGGTAGAGATGTGGGAATGGCTGAGCCAGGCTGGAAAGCTGAGGAGGAGTGGAGGAGCATGGTGGGGCAGGTAGCCACAGACAACCGGGAGCTGGGAGTCAGTAGTGTGAGAGGCAGGGAGTGTGGGGAGGATGAGGGGCCGCCATGAGCCAAGGGTTGGGGATCCTTTCAGAACTGTGTAATGGCACGTGGCCCATCCTGCAGGAAACAGCCACACCACTCCCTGGAGGGCATCACTCTGGGGAATCTGAAGCTCATCCGGCATCTTACTTAGAGAAATGTAAGTGAGGGATGGAGGGCACATGATGGGCATTAGACAAGAGGCCAGAGACCAGCTCTCCTGCTGCTGCGGTCACCCAGGAGGAAAAGGGCCATGGATTCATGATGGAAATAGAGTTAACTGGGTTTGATGGTTGGTGGCATGGTGGTGGTGGGCTGGGGGGCTTCAGAGAAGGGAGTGTGAAAGAAGACTCCTGGGTTCTTCACGGGAGCCCACATGATGACAGGAAGTGCTAAAAGGGGGTCAGTGTTGGGGAGGACATGAGTTCCACGTGAACACGCGGACCTTGGGACGCCAGCGAGTTTACCCCTCAGAGCATCGTCCCCACTTTTAGCAACTCTCCGTGAACAGAACAGGAGCATCACCATCTTATTCAGCCACGGGCCACACGCATCTATGCTGGATGTCATTCAAATAACGTGTGGGATGTTTCATGTCATTAGGTGAAAACGGCAGCATGCATACTGCTGGTAAAGTGAATGTGCACAAAGTGCTGAGCTCTATGAGCTGGGGAGGGCAGTCTACCTAGTTGGTTGACAAAGCCATAAAGTGACGCGTGAAGACTACATCACGGTGTTGACGATTCTGCATGTTGTCCCCAGCTATTCTTGCACTTAACTATTTCCACTGTCTAAGGCCAGGGGCCTCTCTGTGTACTCAGAGCAAAAATACTGGACTAGGAAGGGCTGCCTTTCAGAATTCATTGAGGAGGAAAGAAATTGTCCTGTGGAAGTGCTCTGTAAACCATGAAGTGCTCATAACATACTAAATACGACATCTTATCAAAGTATTTTGATTAGCTAACTGACCGCCCCTCCCTTAGTGGTCAGCAAGGGCCCTGTCAATTTGGATGTTAAAAAGCAAATCCTATTAGAGATATCTACTGAAGATAGACACAGGGCCCCCCAGGCACAGGAGAGTGTGGCTCACACAACACTGGGAAATGAAGTCTCTTTGCTATTTCTTTGAATATGCACTGGAGGCATTGAGGATAAAACAGGACAAATGATTTACACAGAACTTTTGATATTCTGATGATGGGTAAAGGGAAGAAGGGATCTTAACAAATCCTACCCAGGTTCAAGGTTATGCTTCCCATGGAGCTTCCTGCCCTGGAGAAGCACAGGAAGCAGTGGGAAGTCCATATGGAGCTGGGGCAGTGCAGCTTGCTGAGGCCGCGCCAGGCTGGCTGGGCGATACAGGAGCACAGGCAGAGGCAGCTAACCCAGGTGGGGAGACGGCCCCGGAGGAGTCGGGCCCCCACTGGGAAGCGTAAGCAGGTGTGGGCAGAGGGGTCCCAGGTACAGGGCCCCCCAGGTGCAGGAGAGTGTGGCTGGCACAATCCGGAAGAACCAAGTGGCTCTCTGCCAGGGAAGTGAGACCCGAAGCCTTCCAGCAGGTGCCCTGGGGTACCCGGAAGGACAATGTTGAAGTCACCTGGTCATGTCCCCCCGAGGGCAGGGGACATGACCAGGTGACTGCAAGGATGGGAGTGAGCCGTGCCAAGGTCTGGCACAGAGCACTGCCAGGGTGCTAGTCACACTCTGGGAAGACCAGCTGGCTGCAGGATGGGAGGCCCACGGGATGCAGAAGAGGGAGGGGCAAGCAGAAATCGGCTGGAGTTCCTGAAGGAGGAATGAGGTTCAGGGTGAACTCGGTTTCAGGGATATTCACAGAAGGGGCTTTGGGGGCCCAAAAAGCAAGCCGCATCCAGCTGCCCTGTGGGCCTGAGAGTCTGGAGTCCAGGGAGAGTGCTGAGCTGAGACAGGGACTGGAGGGGCATGGTCCGCAGCTGGCAGCTGGCCCAGGAGCACACAGGAAGTTGTGGGTCAGACCCCGCAGCTCAGATCAAGTGTCACCCTTAGTGACCTGCGCATGACCACCGGTGTTGTGGTCATCCTCTTTCCCTGCGGTTTAGCTTTTCAAGGATTATAGGTGGAGGTCCCTGACTTAATTTTTAGAGGACAAATTGAATTCTAACCAACTCAAAAATACTCCAGGGAAATTAGAAGTATGCAAAAAGTATTTGTTGAATAAATGCAAGGAGAGCCAGTTTGTCCACCGTCAATAGGAAATGACTGTCGGTGGAACAGTGACTCTTTTTTTATGGACACCAAAAGGAGGGCAGGAGAAGTGTGCAGTTGGAAAGTGCAACTCGTCTCCAAAAATTCAACAACCAACAAGGTGCTCTCTATGAAGGATTTTACTTCAGAACCAATAACATGAGCCAAAATGTTATCGTTTTCCTCAGAGAGAACTGAGGGAAGCAGAGTCCCACATGCAGAAGAGCAGCCCACTCTCACACTCGGCAACAACAAAAACAGGCGAAAACAAGCAGCCCTGGGACTGTGACCAGTCAACTGGAAACTAAGCCCTGGCCCTTCTCTCTGTGGCTTCCCCCTCCTCATGGCCACTGAGTGGATTGCTCTGCATGTCAAAGGCATCCTTTCAGAGCCAGATCCCTAATGTAGTGGACACCAGTTAAAAACATGGCGGACAGCTGGACAAGGAGTGACCCCTGTGACTGTTTGATGTGACGCCCCAGCAACGTTCACTTACCTCTTTCACAGAAACCCAGATGATGTAGGAGGACACGATCTTGATGATGTGCAGCTCCAGGATCCACCACGTGAACACCTGTAGCTTGTGAAAGTGCTCCAGGGACTTCAGGAAGAGCACCGTGAGGCGGTCGATCACCAGGTGCCACTTGTTCCGCAGGTCTGCAGGACAGAGCAAGGCGGCCTTTGTCATTAATCAAGGGTATCTGTGACCTCCAGATGAGGACAAGGAGCTGTGAAGTCACCACAGGGGATGAGTTCTAAGAACAGCCAAGTGTGGAGCAAGGGTGGTCCACGAGCCCCCAGGCATGTTGACCACACAGATATCCTAACCTAGGATTCTAGGGATGATGCTGCCTTATCCACCTTCTAACTAAGTGGGTGTAGAGAAGAATTTTGACCTTATTTACTCTCTCTGTGTGTCTCTCTTGGGTACTGGGGATTGAACCCAGCCTCAACCACAGAGCCACATCCCCAGCCCTTTTTATATTTCCTTTAGACACAGGGTCTCGATTAGTTGCACAGGGCCTCACTAAGTTGCTGAGGCTGTCCTTGAACTCATGACCCTCCTGCCTTAGCCTCCGGAGTTGCTGAGACTGCAATCATTCACCACCGTGCCTGGCAGCCTTATTTACTCTTAAGGTTAAGATGTAAGCTGAGGATTTGAGGTGACCTGAGCTACCTGTAAGTTACGATTTTGTTTTGTCAAAATGGTGCTCCCATAAGCAACTTATAAATGAGCGGATAAAACTGTCCATTCTCCCTGGATGAACAGGTCAGAGGTCTGCCTCAGCAGGACCAGCCGCTCCTCACCAGAAGGAACAGCAAACCCAGGATCAGGACCAGCCACTCCACAGTTTGGCGGTAATCCTGTGCTGTGATCAGCCAGATCAGTCATTGCGTTCTTGCCAGCTGTGCACAACCCAGGGGTCCCGCTGCTGTCTAGAGGACTGTACTGAAAGCCACCACAGGACTATCTTGTACTGTCACATTTATGTCACACATTACATTGTCATGTTTGTACCAAGGCCACTGTCTAGGCAGAGGATGGGCCCTCACCTGGCACGGGGAGTTGGGACGGTGTCTGTCCTGGGACAGTTAAGTGAGGTTTCATCCCTGTGGAACATGCTTAACGTACAGGGTAACTCAGATGGTGGTCAGTAGGAAGGACTGAGTAGTGAGTGGACATGATCTGGAGGAGTGGACAGCATGAGGGCGTGGAGGCACAAAGCAAGTTCGACTTTTGGTGAGATCCATCAGTAAAGCTCAATCCCAGCTTGGAGCTTGGGTCCTCAGGCCTGCTCTGGAGGAGCTGGGATTTCCCTCTGCACTAAGGCTGTGTGTGGCTCAGGACATGGCTCAAGAAAGGACTGAGCTTCTCTGGTCCTCACTGTGGGTCTCCTGTGCTGAGTGGGGAAGGGGACCAGCTTTGGGGGGGCACTTACTTTTGAGAGGGATCTTCTTTCTCATGCTGCTTATTTATTTATGATGGTACCAGGGATTGAGCCCAGGGGTGCTGCACTTCTGGGCTACATTCCCAGCTCTTCGTATTTTTTATTTAGAGCTAGTCTTGCCAGGTTGCTGAGGCTGGCCTTGAACTTGCAACCTCCTGCCTCAGTCTCCTGACTTGCTGATATTACAGGTGTGCGCCACAATGCCTGTTCCTTGTTCTAGTTTTAAATTTTCTACTTTTGTAAAGCAGAGTTGACCAGCAAGGACAAAAGCAATATTCTACTGTCCTGTCCCAGCACAGCATACCACCCCCAGAACTCAGTGCTCTGGGGTCCCCCGCGCTCTCTGGGCACTGCTGCACAGGCCGAACTCTCAACCTTGGATGTTTCTGTGGGAAAACATTTTCTGAGCCCATGGCCATTCGCTTCTCACCATCCCCTGTTAAAACAGCGTTTCAAGTCTAGGACAAAAAGCGGGGAAAGAGGGAGGACTCCAGAGTAATGAAGGTGGCGGACGCACCTCTGGGGGTGGGCTTGTGAGTGGGTGTTTCTCACCTTCTCTGTTCCTCATGTCTTGAGCATGTCAGCAGAACTAGAAACACATTCTTAATGGGAATCCTCGGAATGATTCCCCTGGGGACGCGTCTGCAATGGCGATGTCCAGGACTCCAGAGGCCCTGAACAGGGAGCTGTTCTGTCTGAGGCTTTCTGCCTGAGCCGTAGCAGACACCCCGCTCCTGCCCTCAACAGAAGCTCTGCTTGTGGCTCAGGCGACCACAGCTGGCCCTTAGCATTCTTCAATTCAGAGAGATTCAAAAGAAATGACTGGAGCAGGATATTACCATGATAGCATACCCCCCCAAATGAAATCTTCAACTTTCAATCCCCAGAGCAGGTCACACTGAGCTGTGGGGTCAGTGCTCGTCCCCTGGTCCGAGCAGCTGCTGGTAGTGGTTACCTGACATCTCTTCCTCCTCCTCCGACTCCTCCTCTTCGTCTTCTCCCTCCTCGGGCTCCTCGCTGCCCTCCCCAAGCTCGCCCTTCTCAGCCTTTCCAGGGCTGCCCTCTGTCTTCTCATCTACGAGTTCGGCCAGTTTCTTCCCCTCGGGCCTCTCCAGGCTGGCGGTCAGGTGCATCATGGCAAGGTCTGGGAGGCTTCCCTCGGGGTGGGCCAACCTGTGGGCAGAGAGCAGCTGCGTCAGGAGAGGAAGGCGTGCAGGGCCGGTGTGAGTGAGGGGCAAGTCAAAGAGAGGCCCACGGGAGAGTCGGTGCATGAGCAGAGGCCTGGCAATGTGGTGCCTGTATCTTGCCACTGGTTGGCCTAGGTTAGCCTTTCTTATTCAGTTCTGGTGGTTGGTCAGGAATGAGAGCTATCGACACCTAAACTTGACATTGTTCCCAGAGGAGCAAATGGTCAGAGTTTAGGACGGAGAGGCATGAAATGTGTCGTGGGAGCAAGCATTTCATGGCCTCACAGGGGGACTTACTCATTTTGGTGGATTGGTAATTTTTTCTTGATGCTGCTCAAAGTAATTGAAATAGAAAGGAAAAAAAGGAGATGAGAACAGAGGAGTTATAAGGAAGTCAGAGATCACACGTCATGCCACATTTCACCCGCATTGCATTCCTGAGCGCTGGGCAGCTGCGGCCTGAGGCCAGGTGCATTCAGGCTGTGTGGGCAGCGAGCTCTCGCTAGGGACCTGGGCTTGCCAACTGACCCGAGAGTGGTCAGCTCTGTAAAGGAGGGTCCGTGTAGACCACTAAGGCAGAGTGTACCCTGCTCTCTGAGCAACTCAACCGACCATCTTGCAGGAACCACATCAGTGACAGGTTAGGTTAGTTTTCTCCACCTCTTACAGGACGTGTGCTCAGTGCACCTTGGCAGGGATGAGCCCACTCCACCAGCGTCTGAAGCCACGTGCTTCAGATGCTTTCAGGAGTTCTGGGGTCTGCATTGCTCAGGCTGAAGGTTGCAGACATAAGCTGTGCATGGGCAGCTGGCAGGGAGGAAGGCAGGGAGCTTCCAGCCACCTGGGCACTGTGGCTGATTCCACAGTGGACACACCTGCCTTGTGTTCTGTGTTCTCAACACAGAGTCTCTCTGTTGCCCAGGATGTCCCTGAACTCCTGGATTCCAGTGTGCCTCCTACCTCAGCTTCCTGAGTAGCTGGACTACAGGTCTGTGCCATGGTGCCTGACCTCCTGCTCTTTTTTAAAAAGCATAATGTGTATTAATATTCAAATGGATGCCTTAAAGAGCCCACTCCCTTGTGGACAATACAGTCCATCCTAGGGAAAAGCCTAGTGGAAATCATAGTGATCTTCATTTGCAATAATTAATGCATGAATTTCAGCCTGATCATAAGAGAACAGACAATTTAAAAAGCTTTACCCACATAATTGTACACTCTGAAAAAAAATTATTTAGCCTTTCTGAAATTCAGTAAATTTTCTATAAAAATGAGTCGATTCAGCTGGGTAAAGTCTTAAGCTGTTTCAAGCCACAGTTTCATATTTGAAAGCATGCCTGTCATTTAGGGGAGCCACTTGTAACGAGTTGGCATTGTTCTTAGTCTTTCAAGACAGTCATCACTCAAAAGCATCCCTTTCCCAGTGGGGTCAAGTGGTTCATGACAATATGCCGGAAGCAAGTGGATCACCAATGCCCAAGGAGCCTGGCACAGGGCTCCACTCTGGGAGCAGGAACTCTGCCCACATGTCGCTCCCGAATCTTCTTAAGCCACTAACTGATCCCTTCATCTTCTTGAAAGTCCACTACTCTTGGAATTGCAACTCCATTTCTTTGACACTAGGGTAGCACTTGGAACCTCTGGGTGCACACTGCTGCCCCAGCTTGACAGTTCTGTGTTTTGAACGTGCTTGGGTGTGGAAGCAGTAGCCCCAAGGAGAGTGCCCATGTCCCTATGTACAGCTCTCTTCTGCATTGGGAAGACACCTCTTACTATAACAAGGAACTTGATGTTGGTTAGTGGGGACATGTGCCCCCATTGAGTGTGTCAGATGCCTGCCACCATTGCAAGCTGATGAGCAGATGCCTTTCTAACCCTGGAGTGAGTCCCCAGCCACCAGGCCATCCTACAGCTGCTTCTATGGCTCTTTAAATCAAATGCTTTGTATTTCCTCCACACAAAGAGTTCATTCTATCTCAATTAGCAACGTGCCCAGACTGCCACATCACAGGCAGTCAACACTGAGTACGGACGGCTGAGCGACGGAGTCGAGGGAGACACTGGGCTGAGCCTATAGGGAGCAGCCCTTGGAGACACCATCATCTACGAGACTTGCTTCTGGAAACTGGTGGTAATTTGCATAAGGTCTGGGACTGGACAGAACTGGGGACAGAGGAGACCTGGGGCCAACCTGACACCGAGCCCCACTCCCCAGGCAGCCTAGCCTCTGGATTTACAATGGCTGGCAGAACAAAGCAGAGGGGACCCATGTGCCAGCTACCATTTGGAGCCATCTGAGCAATCAGATGACTTATGAGTCAGATGACACTGCAAAACTACTTAGCCTGTTTCTCCAGTCTCAGTCTTCAGGTCCGTAAAGTGGAAATGACTGTGTCTGCTTTATAGAACTTTTGGAAAATTAAAGCAGTTTCCATAAGTGCTGAACACACTGCTTACATATACAGGAAGGATTTTAAAGCAAGGAACCATCTTCTACAGGCAGATTTCATACATTAGGTTTCACAACCATGTCATAAGTCTGTCCTGATGAAAAGGCAGAATTCAAAGTGCACCTGGCTGAGCCTCATCAACCAGGACAGGGAAGATGCACCCGTGGACGGCAGTTCTGTCGTCGGCACGTTCCGTCACAGAACTCGGGTATGCCAAAAAGGCCATTCAGAAGAAAACCAGCTAGGATTTCTTCCTGGGAACCTGTCTCCAAGCATTCCCTGGCCTTGTGCACTCTGCTCTGTGTACAACTTCGCTGTGCGTGCAGTGAGGGCTTCGGAGCCAAGGGCTGGGCTGCAGACACCCACCTCAGAGGCTCAGTCAGCTGCAGTTTGCTGGAGCCAAAAGTCATCCTCATGCTTCTGAAAAGACTGGGTGCCACAAATCAGTCGTTTTGTTCCTCTAGCAAATAAAAAAAAAAAGATCTCGACTTTTTCAAAAACTATAGTAAAAGGCACACTCTCACGAAGACACATTCGCTGGAACTTCATGCCACAGAACTTACAACACTTGCGATTTTTTTTACTGATCATCTTGTGCAAATTATTTGATGATCAGATGAAGGATTTTTCCTTTGGGACTCCAAAGAGACACAGTGAAAGCTCATGGGATTCTGAAGAAGCTCTGTTCTCTACCTCCTTAAATCAAATGCTTTGTGTTTCTTCCACACAAAGAGTTCATTCTATCTCCTTAGAGTTTCTTTATTTTTACAGATATTTTATTTCCTTGCTTTATTATGATTCAGGTTGAGCTCTCAATACTTGTGGTTCTCTATTTTTGTGTCAGGAAAGCCAAGGGACCTGTCAGTCTGTCCATGCACGCGTTCCTGTCCATCCTCAGGGCATGCTTCCTTATCTGCGCCTACATCGTTTCATCCTAAGTGTGTGCTGGGAACTCTCTCTGGGAAGCTAGAGATGCAGTCCTGCACCCTGAGCTCCCCTGCAAAGCAGACTCCTTGTGCTTGGTGCACAGTGGGACTCTTTCAATGCTGGGCAAGACATTTATACCCTGGAGACATGCTCTCTTTGAAACAGAAGAAACAAATTATGTAACACAGAGTGATGAAGACATTTAATTATTGACTTGACTTGGAAACAACTACATATTAAGCCAGTCTCCACTAAGAAAAATGGAAATTCTGCCATCATAAAATCTCCATATTTAAACTCTCATTCATTTTTTCAATAGTTCTACTTTGGAACATGTGAAGTGCAAATTGTAATTACCCATTCCATTAGATGATTAGAGAAAAGGAGATATCTTGTGTTAGGTGCAGGACAGGCTGAATAAGCTGTCTGCAGGGCATGCCAAACAAAGTTAGCTGCAGGATGACCTGGCCACTCAAACCCTCTGTCTGGTTCTTTATCACCTGTTTGCTTCAAGCCCAAACGCCCAAGCCCCCCCGCTCAAGGCTGAACACTCAAACTCCTCCCCCCACCCCGCTCAAGGCTGAACTCTTAACCCCCCTTGTG